TTCTTCTTCTTCTTCTTCTTCTTCTTCTTCTTCTTCTTCTTCTTCTTCTTCTTCTTCTTCTTCGTCTTCTTCTTAGCATGCACATGCTGTAAACTCCAATTTATGGTTGTTTGTTCACTTTTAAACTTGTTCCAGAACTTGACTTTTGCGAGTTCATCCATTTTACAGATCGGGTCTATTTGTATGCAGACTGTTGGTTTCTCGCCTTTCAGACAGACACATTCCTACTTGAAGGGAAACACCCCTATAGAGTCGCCTCTTACGACTCTCTTGTTAGATTGTTAGGGGGAAATGGGTTTAGTCGTCCCCCACCCCCCCCACCCCCCCCCCCCGACGCCTAAGATGGCGCCCCGTAGCCCACACGGGGAGAGCTGTAAATTACTGGCAATATTTAAAAGCGACTGCCGTAGTTTAGGGATACACACACGTCTGTGGATCCTAAGGTCGAGGGTTCAAATCCAAGAGAAGTCAGACATTAAAAAAAAATTACCTGAGCTTCCAGGTCGACCCGGCCTTAAATTGATACCAGGTAAGGCCCTAAGAGGTAAATGAGACCGGGGTGACGTTGACAACATCACCCACAAAGTACCAATTAAGTTTAGCACTTTATACCTAAAAAGCCTGAAGATGCGGACAATTTCTTTTACTTTTTACTATACATACGTGTGTGGGTGGGTGGGTTCGACCCACCAAAGGCGTACAATAGGTCCTTTACTTTACTTTTAAATGAAATCTGTGTTTAGGGATTATTGTGGTGGTCTCCCATTTCCAACATTTCTACAGTCGATAGTAGGAAGATATTTCTGATTCTTACCAAAGAGAACTGTAACTCTGGTACTGTCGATGTAACCACTGGGTGACCTGCAGATGTAGGTACCCGTATCTGATGGGTTGCTTCTGTTGATCAGCAGCTCACTGACACTTACACTAGTTGTGGGATTGAAGACAGATTTGATTAACATTGTGGCATGGATTAGGAAATAGAATGAAAGTTCAGTCATGACAACTATTCACAGATGCGCAAACCATTTCCCACATTGGACTTCAGGTTACTTTGTAACAATTTTGTGGTGCCCCAATATAACTATGCCATTCGCTTTACACATGTGGAAGAAAGGCGAGAAGAAGACCAATAAAGAGATTGATAAATGGTGTATCAGAAACCTAAAAAAAAAAGATCAACAAATCCATCACCCAAGTCACCTATGAAGCGCAAGACACATATAGAAAACTACGACACTGAGCTACAACCTGGTATCAGTGAGACGACAAAACCACGATACTGAGCAACAACTTGGTATCAGTGAGACGACAAAACTACGACACTGACCTACAACCTGGTATCAGTAAAACCACAAAACCAAGACACTGAGCTATAACCTGGTATCAGTTAGACGAAAAAACCACGATACTGAGCAACAACTTGGTATCAGTGAGACGACAAAACCACGACACTGAGCTACAACCTGGTATCAGTTAGACGAAAAAACCACGATACTGAACTACAACCTGGTATCAGTAAGGTAACCAAACCACGACACTCAAGCTAAAACCTAGTGGGGAGACGCCAAAACCAGGACACTAAACTACAACCTGGTATCAGTAAGGTAACCAAACCACGACACTCAAGCTAAAACCTAGTGGGGAGACGCCAAAACCAGGACACTAAACTACAACCTCGTATCAGTGAGACAACAAAACGACGACACTGAGCTACAACTTTGTGTCAGTGAGACGACAAAGCCACGACACTGAGCTACAACCTGTATCAGTGAGACGACAAAACCATCCCTCTGAGCTACAACCTGTATCAGTGAGTCGACAAAACCACGACACTGAGCTACAATCTGGTATCAGTGAGACGACAAAAACACAACACTAAGCTACAACCTGTATTAGTAGGTCGACAAAACAACGACACCCTGAGCTACAACCAGGTATCAGTGAGAAGAAAAAACCACGACACACTGAACTACAACCTGGTATCAGTGAGAAGACAAAACCACGACACACTGAGCTACAACATGGTATCAGTGAGAGGACAAAACCACGACATACTGAGCCACAACCTGGTATCAGTGAGAGGACAAAACCACGACACACTGAGCTTCAACCTGTATCCGTAAGACGACAAAACCGCCACACACTGAGCTACAACATGGTAACTGAGACGACAAAACCACGACACACTGAGCTACAACCTAGTATCAGTGAGACGACAAAACCACGACATACTTAGCTACCATTTATGCACAGTCAGTATGAAAGCAATAGTTTTCTTTCAACACAAGATAGTTTGCACCTGACAACTGTCGATATTCTCCAGATGTGGCTTCTAAATTACCTGTTTGTATTTCCCCCCAAAAGTAAGATTTCTACATTCAAAGTAGAAAAAGAATAAACAGCCAGTTTCCAAAAATCCAAACTACTGACTAGAAACACTGACACACATACATCACAATACGACTGTCTGCCGTGAATTTAAATTCAAATTGCTGTTATTTAACGCATTAAAATGTCACACAATGCAACATGGAAACGCTTCTAGTAACCAATTTTCGAGGGGACTCGGCCAAAATGTGATTTAGTTGTAAGGACCTATATACAGAAGGACCTGCTACATCTAACTCAAGTGTGAGAGATGAAGAAGCCTAGCGCAGTGCATGGGCTATGTAGCACAGGCTTTGATCCTGAAATTTTTGGGTAGAAATTTAACTTACAAAATTTTCCCGGGCAGCGCCGTTAGACTACTCTTTTCGATTTCCAACTGCCAAAGAAGTCTTTACGTGCGCAACAATACACAATGACGTCCAATTTCACTACCCAGAGACCAGGGGAAATTACTAAAAGTCTACGTGAATAAAATCCCTGGAGACCTCGCAACTCCCTAACTTTGCAATGGAAAGTGTAAGCATTTTTAGAGACGTTGCATTCACGCCCCTAGCATTAAGCTACCAGTGCCAAACATGGACACTATCTAAGGTCCAGGTACGCAAAATCAACACCTGCGAGATGAGATGCCGGAGAAAAGCCGCCAACCTAACCTTCCAAGATCGAATGAATCATGATACGATCAGACGAATTTTGGAAATGACACCTTGTACTAGACTTATCAAGAAACAGCTGATCAAGTGGTTAGGCCATCTCATTAGAATGCAGTGAGATCAGAAACCATCACAGACACTACATCTTAAAATATCAGATACAAGAGCAAGAGGACGGCTGCAAAAAAATGGATCGACAACATTAAAGACATTTTAAGACCTTATGGCATGAAAATAGTCAGTGGCAGCCAGCGCGCACTGGATGGCAAATTATTCTTCCCCACGATGCTTAACAGCAGAAGTGGCATATGATGATGATTGAGGCCTGGCCACTGGTCCTCTGCTACCTACATATCAAAGTACAAGAGCTCACTGACTTCTGCTTCTGCGTTGCTAAGTGCTGTGCACAACTTGGTGGAATACTGATGCATGATAAGGCAGACGTGGTTAGTGCCTTGTGGGAGAGCTTGTACAGTTTGGAAGAGCAGACCGATCATCAGTCTGGTGAGACTGGTGCAGGTGAGTAACGAGAGATTCTGGCGGATGCTCGAGGCTCAGATGAAAGGCAAGACGGTCGTGTAATTAGAATGCTACTGGCACCATTAGTATCGGAACTCTGCACTTGCTGCTGAAGATAGGAACGGTGTGTTTATGGGAGTGCTGTGATGTCGGTTCTTGAATCCACTCAACTCTTTCAAGTGATTAGTGCTTTCGCTTTACGCAATGAATGTCCTGGGTTAGTTTTACGGACTGTGTCATTCACTTTACCAATGTAGTTTAAAATGAGGTCCTTGAAAACAGTCGTTCGAAATACGAAATTCATGCTTTGTGCGACGCTCTCGGTAGTAAGTTGAACGTTCTGTGGAAATGGGCCGATTCATTTGTGGAATTTTTTTTGGGACGGGGGGGTGGGGGGGGGGGGGGGTAATAAAGTCAACCCTGTCAGTTTAAATGTTTACATTCACTGAACGACTTCCGGCTTATCTTATTGTGTTTTAGTAATAATAAAATGTAATTTTATAATAATACTCTGAAATTTACTTTGCTGCTTATGTTAAAATACATTTTTTAATGAACTATCAAGTGGGAGCCGCCGTGTTGTAGTGGCTATATGCTCGCCTGCAGATCTGACGGTCGTTGGTTCAGTTCAAAAATGGCTTAGCTTCCATGCCGACCCAGCCTTAAATAGATGCCAGTTTGAATCCGGTGATGTAAAAGTGGCTGGTGTGGTGTCGACACCATCACCTATCGAATGCCTATTGATCTATAACATATATGTCTAGCCCTATATGCCCAAAGGCGTGGGACAAGGTCCTTTACTTTACTTTACTAGCGATTATGTATTACAGTTGACAACCAGACCAGTAGACAGACAAGAACGCATACAAACACATACAAGGTACATAGATCAAATGGCTAACTTTGGCTCCACCATGTTATAACTGGTAATGACCACGTGTTTGTAATTGGAATGGTCTATCTTGTCGCCATCTTTAAACCAATCGATACTGTGGCGAAAACCATCGGGCCCGGTTGTGTTACAGAACAGATGGATCGCCTGACCCCTTTCCACATAGTTCTTGCCAGACAGTGCTATAGGAGGATGCGAGGCTGTGGAGAGCAAGGAGACCATGGTTACTGTCTGTTAATTATTACTGATAATCATAATCTCGACCGTCTGTTGTCTGTTATTATAAAATACGGTTGCTACCATTTATTATCTAGTATTAAAGACTACATGGATTACTGTCTGTAAAACAGTTGCTACCATATGTTATGTAGTATTGAAGACTGTATAAATTACTGTCTATAAAACAGCTGCTATCCATTATCTAGTACTGAAGACTACATGGATTACTGTCTATTGTCTGTTATTTGGGAGTCGCCATGGTGTAACGGCTATGCGTTTGCTTGCGGGTCGGAAGGTCGTCTGTTCGGGTCCTGACAGAGCCAAACATTTTTCAGCAATGACCTTGGCTCCCAGGTCGACCCAGCCACGTCCGGCTGCATATTCAGTCCTGACAACTGAATCACGGTACATTTTGGAGGAGTCCCCCTCGAAAATAGGTTACTGGGAGCGTTTCCATGTTGCATTGTGTGACATATTAATATGCTTACAAAGTCCCGTGTTCTAAACGTATTCGTATTACAAATCTACAAATGGATATTGTGAAGTGGATATACACCAATTTTTATTCACGGAAGACAGTAGTGTTGTGATGTGTGTGTCACTGTTTCTAGTCAGTAGCTCGGATTTTTGGGAACTGGCTGTTTATTACTTTTCTACTTTAAATGTAGAAATCTTACTTTTAGGGATAATACAAACAGGTAATTTCGAAGCCATATCTGGAGAATATAGACAGTTGTCAGGTGCAAACTATCTTGTGTTTGAAGAAAACTATTGCTTTTATATTGACTGTGCATAAATGGTGCAACCACACTGTGGATAAATTGTGTCAAGATATTTCGGAGCTCTAGGTAAGTGGATGAAAATAATATTTAATTTACCAACTAACCTCTCACAGCAAGTCACTCTTTGCCTCTTTACTAATTGTTGACTAACAGTATAATTATATGTTGTAGCAGTACACTAATAATATTAATCCTTAACCATTTGACTTATGCTTCGCGAACACTGGCTGTAAACTCTTGCGGAAACCTCTGGTAATTTATCGACTTCTTTTGCATATTTGCAGTTCTACGGTCTTTGTTATTTTTTTGTAAACTGGCTTTTGCTTTGCTTCGCGAACACTGGCTGTAAACTCTTGCGGAAACTTCTGGTAGTTCATAGACTTCTTTTGCATATTTGTTACCAAAAAATTCGCAATGGTAAGGAATTGATTTCATCCAACAAGATGAAACTGGACAAATTTGTTTGTGCTGTTTGTACCTTGAGGATACATATTTAGTAGTGCTATAAGTACTGTTAAGAAAACTACTATAGGTGAAAAAAGTATTGCACATATCAATTACATACTGATTGTGCTTGTTTACTAATTATTAAATAACAGTGTCTACTAATAATAATAATAACCATCAATTATTTATGTTATGTATGATATGTGTATATTTCATAGCAGTATTTTTATGCGCTAAATTTGATAAAGTACAAACGTCACCCCCCCCCCCCCCGCTCCTCTGATACAACAATACCCTCTCAGAATCAAAAAGTTAGCACTGATATTTCTTTACTTTTACTAGAACAACTTTTAGTTTACATCTAAACGTTATTGATGTTTATGATCATGTTGACTGTAGCAAAAGCATTTTTGTTTGTCTGTAAGAGCCTTTATTGTTATATTTATTCGGCACACTTATTTATTTTAAAAATGACGTATAGTTCTAAAAATATGTCGAAAATTAATGAAACTGTAGTTTTATTTGCGTATACATCTCCTCGATAAAAACTGTGGACGCAGAGGGACTCAATTCTTGCACAAGAACGGGAATTCCCGTTCGAGCTGTACGGCCTTATAAATCTGGAGCTGGCCGTGACCCAGCCTTGAGTGGGTACCAGGTACAAGCCATGGGAAGTAAAGGTGGCCGGTGTCATGCTGACCGCATCACCCACCAAGAGTCGATTGGTCTATACAAATATAAGTCTAGCCCTATATATACATAAGAGGTGGAAAAATACACTTTACTTTTTGTAATTTTTATCAATTATTTAGCTGAAATATGTTTGCCACCCCAAGCGCCGTTGGGAAAAACATAATAGCAGTAGGTGTGGTACCAGGAAGGAGAAACAGGGACCGATTAACAAGTTTAACAGGGTAACATTGACTCCTTGGATATGAAAGTGCACGACAGGGAGAGATGGCAAGAGACCGAGTTGCTTTCAGGCAGACCGTGATGAGAGCGACGTTCTGCAAAGGGCCTGCTACTAAATGATGGAGATCAATTATTTAAAAACACTTTGGTTATTGTCTATTTTCTATTGTTGCAGAACATTGTTTTCACAAACCCGACATTGCGGGGTTTGAAGTCAGCTGATTTAGTAGCAGGCGGTTTTGTGTAGATTTTTAAGATCAATCAGTCCAAAAATGAGTACTGTATTTTAGCTAAAAAGTTGTGAACAATATTTGATGATATATCTTCTTCTTTTTCTTCTTCTCTTCCACCTTGTACCTCATCGAAGTGTCAGGGGGAGATGTAATGTTCGTTGATGGGCTCTGTCAAGAGCACTATTAAGACTGATGTTCATTTTTGTAAGGCTGTTCTTAATGCCATCACTCCATATTTCCGAGGTCTTCCTCTGATATTCAGTCATACTGATACAGTCACAAACACAGAATTATGTCACATAAACTCTGTTTACGCAATTAATTTCTTGTTATTATTAAGCGTCATCGGTTTTCCTGCATAAATATTTATCTGCGTAAATTATCCGTGTCAGTGCGTGTTCTCTTACTTTATCAGTATGTGTCAGTAAGTTTTAGCTGCCACACACTCTGGCATACCTGATTCAATAACGGGAGGGCCTGAAACAAAAAGGACAAAATAATAATGATTGTTAAATTGAAGTTTTGCTTAGTAAAACAATCATTTTTATACACATATTGACGTACGACCCTACCTATGTAAGCACGCACTATTGTATGTATGTGCATTGTATGTATGTATGTAAAGTTATATATTGTCTTAAAAAGGAATACAGTGTGAATACAGTAGCTGGGAGGGAGAAGAAATTCATGATGACAATGTCAGTAATGATGATCGCAAAAATGATATTAATGATGTTGACCATGATGATGGTGATAACAATGATGATAACGATGATTTTATCAAAGAAAGAAAGAAAGAAAGAAAGAAAGAAAGAAAGAAAGAAAGAAAGAAAGAAAGAAAGAAAGAAAGAAAGAAAGAAAGAAAGAAAGAAAGAAAGAAAGAAAGAAAGAAAGAAAGAAAGAAAGAAAGAAAGAAAGAACGCCAGAATGAATCAAAAAAGAAAGAAAGAAAGAAAGAAAAAAAGAAAGAAAGAAAGAAAGAAAGAAAGAAAGAAAGAAAGAAAGAAAGAAAGAAAGAAAGAAAGAAAGAAAGAAAGAAAGAAAGAAAGAAAGAAAGAAAGAAAGAAAGAAAGAAAGAAAGAAAGAACGCCTGAATGAATCATGAAATAAATAAGTAAATAAAAAGGAAAGAAAGAAAGAAAGAAAGAAAGAAGGAAAGAAAGAAAGAAAGAAAGAAAGAAAGAAAGAAAGAAAGAAAGAAAGAAAGAAAGAAAGAAAGAAAGAAAGAAAAAAGAAAGAAAGAAAGAAAGAAAGAAAGAAAGAAAGAAAGAAAGAAAGAAAGAAGAGAAAGAAAGAAAGAAAGAAAGAAAGCCTGAATGAATCAAGAAAGAAAGAAAGAAAGAAAGAAAGAAAGAAAGAAAGAAAGAAAGAAAGAAAGAAAGAAAGAAAGAAAGAAAGAAAGAAAGAAAGAAAGAACGCCTGAATGAATCAAGAAAGAAAGAAAGAAAGAAAGAAAGAAAGAAAGAAAGAAAGAAAGAAAGAAAGAAAGAAAGAAAGAAAGAAAGAAAGAAAGAAAGAAAGAAAGAAAGAAAGAAAGAAAGAACGCCTGAATGAATCAAGAAAGAAAGAAAGAAAGAAAGAAAGAAAGAAAGAAAGAAAGAAAGAAAGAAAGAAAGAAAGAAAGAAAGAAAGAAAGAAAGAAAGAAAGAAAGAAAGAAAGAAAGAAAGAAAGAAAGAAAGAAAGAAAGAAAGAAAGAAAGAAAGAAAGAAAGAAAGAAAGAAAGAACATTTTGGGTAGATACACACCAGAAGGTAGCAGGAAGGAAATACTGAGATCATAAGAAAGAAGCAAAAACCTCCTATTGAACTAACCTGTCACTTGCAGGTGAACATGCCTGGTTAGTTTCACTTTGTCACTGATCTGACACTCGTAGGTTCCACTATGCTGACTTGTGACCTTTTTAATCACCAGGTTCCACTCCGTCACCTCCGGCGTCTGCTCGTGAAACTGAACCTCCAGGTTCGGGTCCTTAATCCAGGTGAGGTCCCCGATAGACAGGAAGTGGTTTTCATCAAGACGACGCCACGTTACCTAGCGAAAACAAGAAGACTACAAATAAAAAGTAAAGATCCCTTTTCACGCCTTAGGTGCATCGGGCATATGGGAAGAGCATCCTATATGTTACAGACCAATCAGAAATAGGTTGGTAATGTGGACAGCATTACGCAAGCGGTCCTTACTTCCCCAGGACAGCCATCCTGGTATCCATTTTAGGCTGGGTCGACCTGCAACGCCCCATACCATTGTAAAAGTCCACGCAGAAATCAGTGGGTTTCGATTGCCGTACGTTGAAATTACGAGTCGGACTCGCAAGCCTAAGCCACGGGCGCCGCACGAACACTAGTTAATGCTGTTTTGTTAATTCTTCCTCTTCTTTTTCGATCTTTTTGTCAAAAAATGAACATCGCAAAGCCGTCAGCCTTGATTAAAGCAATCGTGCAGATCCTGTCTCTATGTGTAGCATACGGCTTGGACCTAATTGTGGCTGGAACATCACAGACTGCTTTTCTATTAGCAGTAAACAGTGTTGAAGTACATCATTTTCCAAGTTTGTTGCAGTAACACATAACAGTGTTTCTTACACCGACTACCCGAACATATATCTGCGAAGTCTGTCGTGTCCTGTGCTTTGTCTGAATATGACACATTGTGGCTCTCCGGAAAGACGACGGTGAGCCGCGACAAGGCTGTGTTTAGAATCTTTTGCTGACTGATTGAAGGCCTGAGTTCGAATTAACAGCAGGATGAGTTTTTAGGGCTGCCAGGTCAAACTAGCTTAGAATGTCTACAGGCAAAGTTCTGGACTCATGGAGGTGATTAGCTTGGTGCTGACCACATCAACCAACAAATACCGATTAGCAGAAGAAGCAGAGACAGTAGCAGTTAAAATGGAAACCTCAAAGACTTTTACAGTAAGCCAAGGAAATAAATTGGTTAAGAAAAGTCTGCCAAGTGGATCATTCAAAAATACTCAAGGAAAGGTGCTCACCAACATTGAAGATCAATTTGACAAATGGGCTGAATATTTTGAAATGCTTTTGAATAGACCAGTCCCAGAGGTTCCCCCAGATATCCAGCTTTTAGAAATGGAACTGGATATCAACTGTGAGATATCATCCAAAGAGGAAATTATGAAAGCTATCATTCTTCTCAAGGAAGGAAAGGCGGCTGGCACAAGTGACATCGCAGGTTAAGGTATTAGGGCTAATATAAGCACATCAACGGAAATGCTGCAAAGATTATTTAGTAAAGTCTGGGAGGCTGGAGAAATACCAGCAGACTGCAGAGAAGGATATCTTGTGAGACTGCCCCAAAACGTGATCAACAGGAGCGTGAAAACTATAGAGGAATTATGTTGTTGTCAGTTCCTGGAAAAATATTAAGTAGAATTATATTTGAAAGCCTTATAGATGCTACTGATAAAAAACAGAGGAACATGCAGGTTGTCGGCAAAACAGATCCTGTACTGACCAGATGGCTACATTAAGTATAATAATTATTTTAAAAAAGCATTGAAGTGAATTCACCACTTTACATTGGAATCCTAGACTATTTAAAAAAAGCTGTTGACAGCATTGTTATGGAATCTCACTGGAAATTAATGGGACGAATCCAACAGAAAATTATTAACTTAGTAAAGGCAACATATAAAGACATGGAATGTCGAATTCTTTATGAGGGAAATTAACAGATACATTTGAAATGAAAACAGGTGTGCGACAGGGGTGTCTTTTATCGCCTCTTAAATTGTTACTGGCAGTTAACTGGCCTGCTAACACCAAGAATGGAATTCAGTGGGTCCCTACAAAACAGCTCGATGATGTAGACTTCGCTGATGACATTCCTCTTCTGTTCCACTCAAGGAATCAGATGCGAGATCAATTAAATACACTTGAAGCGAGGTCACAACAGTTAAAGTCTGAAATGAATAAGAGAAAGACATAGAAAATGAGAATAAATCAGGCGAATATTAATGTGGTTTCTTTTTATGGTATCTCACTCTAAGACGTGGAGTCGTACATACATTTGGGCAGTAATGTAGATATAGCTGGGGGTGGGGGGGGGGAGGATAGATATATTAAAATACGAATATAAAAGGCAAAAGCACTAGGAAATTTGTAGAGGTAACAAGAATTAAAACTATTACTAAACTTATAATTTTAACTCTAATGTCAAATCAGTTTTGTTGTATGGAGCGGAAACACAAAGAACAACTAAGCCAATAACTAATAAACTACAAACATTCATTAACTGGTGCCTGCGTGAAATAAAGGGAATGAAATGGTATGACAGAATCACTAATATAGAGCTTTGGGGACTTTCCAGTAGACCAAGAGGTGAAGAAAATACGCTGGCGTTGGATAGGACATACGTTGAGAAAACCTGAGAACAATTTAACTAGAATGTCTTTCAACTAAAACCCACAGGGGCATAGACAAAAAGGGAGAATAAAAAACATAAGGAGAAGGAAGCTAGAAAGTGAATTTTAAAAAATGGGGAGGACATAGGGAGAGCTGTATGCGATGGGGAATACGTATATGTATATGAATGTATAGAATATGTATGCAATAAAACAAATACGTGTTAACCAAGGCCAACAGACATAATATAGTAGAAGTAATTTAAACATTATTATCTCTTTTAACCCATCCTGGTTATAATATAAATATAATTTTTTTTCTCCAGTTTAATAAAAAATATTTGTACCTATCAGTTATGCTTAGTTATTCCGTTTTGCATAGCTTATGTACCAATTGTAAGGAATCTAGTATAGATTGTCAAGTAAAGTGTATTAAAATCACACTTACTTATACATGTGTTTATTTATTTTCATAATTATTATTATGACTGTTATTATTATTATTTCTTTTATTATTATTATTTGTTTTGTCCTTTTCTTGGTCTGCCACCTCATTTCCTTCAAATCTCACATGCTGTGGTACCCACATCAGCACTGAGAATCATTTTGTATTTGGATAATTTGTGTCTAATAAGATCTCCTCTGTAAGATCATTTTTACTGCACATTTTGGTATTTTTGAGAGCTATAATCTGACATGATGTATTTTATTACGCATCTTCTAAAATATCTTACACAGTTAAAAGCGAACTCTTGAAAACGGAAGTGCAAAAACGTGCTACTTCAGTCGATACACTGAGAGTTCATAATTTGTCATGGGAATTTTTGTCTGGCTTGTTTATTTCAACGATATATATTCAATGTAAGATCACTCACTCCAGCCAGAGGTACACTTATTCTGTGTTGTCCGTGTTTTTTTTTTTTTTTTTTAAGCAGACACGAATTTAATTTATGTGAAAATAAAACATGATCGTCGGAATTTCAGCAGTATTTCCGTCTGGATCGATTATTACTATTCTTTAAATGTAGGGATGGGGACAACTATATAAACTAATTCCCAACTTGGGCATAATCGTTATAATAAATACCATTATCATCATTATCCTTCATATCATCAATGTGTTCATAATTTTAATCATCATTGTACTTATTGTCATAATCATCATTATTGTCGTCATTGCTTTCACCATCATTGTACTCATCGTTCCCATTAATATTATTATAACCATCGCTGTCATCATTATTATCATCATCGCCGTCGTCATAATTGCCATCATCATAATCTTTATTGTCATCATCATCATTGTCGTCGACTTCGTTGTCCCGATCTGTGTAGTTTTCGTCATCGTTATTATCATCGTTGCCATCGTTAGCATCAGTGCCATCGTCATATTCAAGCTAGCCGTCGCCATCGTTGTCAGCATCATCATCTTCGTTGTCGTTTCTTCATCATGATCGTCATTGTGATCATCGTTTTCATCACCATCATTGTAATTAACATCCTCGTCGTTGTCATTGTGTTCCTCGTGATTCTTATCGTTGTAAACAACAGTGAGGACATTATTCAGTGTGGAGAAAATTAACATCTAACCACTGAAAACAAATCTCCATAGGTTAGGTAAATAGTTGTTGGCTCGGGTGTAAGCTATACATGATTAAATATGGACAGAATTCGTATCTCACCACTAAAATCAAATCTACATTGGTTACGTGAATAGTCGTTGCTTCGGGTGTAAGATGGACATGATTAGATATGGACAGAATTTATATCTAACAATTGACAACAAATTTACCCAGTTACGTAAATAGTTGTTGGCTCAGGTGTAATATAGAAATCACTGAATATGGACAGAATTCGTATATAACCATTCAATAGGAATAAACTCACAGGGAGCAAGTACAGCAGGGATCTACCAGTCGTCAGTAGAAATTATCCTCGTCGACACGCGTTTCGGCCCACAATTCCTAGACGCATTCGGAGGTGGGCCCTCCTGAGTTCATGAAGCTCAGGGCTGGTTCCCTGCTGCACGGGATTACCGGATGGTGTTTTACTTTCGGCCAGAGACAAGACGACTTGGTGGTTTGCAGGAGGTACTGTGAGATAAGAAGCCGCCGTGGCAGCCTAATTAAAGCAGTCAGCATGCCTGGACGACCGAGCGACAAGCTTACTTTGGTTTACCGGACACATGTTGGACTTTTATTAGCAGTTGGCAGAGGAACACTGGCAGACAATTCGGACACGATGGACTTTCAAAGGGGTGAGAAACCCTTTTCCACTAGACACCCGGACCAGCTCACCGAGGCCCGTCCCCTACGTTGTTGCGTTGCGTCCAAAGCCAGCTAGAGGCCCTTTCGGCTGCCTCTCCCAGTTTTTTTTCAAAACAAATCTACACAGGTTTCATAAATAGTTGTTGGATTTTGTGTAATATATACCTGGCTAATTATGATTTTTAGGAAGGGAGAGGTGCAGTTGGTTGTGCGTCGAATTATACCATCTAATAAAATTAGGACGCTGAGGTTTTTTGGATAACTATAGATAACTATAGCTAAGATTTGAATGTTTGCCAGTATGTCCTCACATATTTACTTCTCCCCCACTGCATCTATGAGTAGCAGTCACTAACACTGAGACATTCATACTGGAGCGTATTATAAGATTGGGAGATATACTTTGGCTGAGATCCATTGCAAGCAGTCTTCATGGGAATAGTGTCTTTTGGTTTATTGAAAATTGGAAAATATACATATTCTGATTTGGTATAGATTATTGCGCAGAATGTTTACATTAAATGCTGGCTTCTTTTATGTATGTATTTTAGAAGTATTCAATTAGCAGACATGCCGAAAGACTGGCAAAGGAAATGTTTCTAGGAAAAATGCAAAAACGTCGAGGAATTATAAAATAAAATGATCAGCAAATAGTTTAGTCAACAGCAGACATACCTGCTTTGTTCCCAGGTATAGCACGGCACACGGTAGCACTGCTGTACTGCCCTCCCTGGCTGTAACACTGGGGAGTCTGGGGAGGAACTGCGGTTCTGGATAAGGCGGCTCCATGCAATCTGTCAGATGATATCATGCAACTTTCTGGCTATGGTCAAGGTTTCAACTGACAGTAACTGAACCATAATATGTAAATAATCAAGTGCAATATTTAACGTCTCTAACATAGTGGATCTCAAGACTAAATCAAGCATGCTGGTCACACTAGGCTACAAACTTTATACACATGTATAAGCAATAAGTGAAATTATTCAAATTTTACACAAGAATACATTGAGATTTCACCAATCGATTGACACCTTTTTTTCCCCATCTGGGTCACGATAATTTTGAGGCGTACGGTCTTTCCCATTAGTATGGTGTGTGGCCTCCTCTTGCGTGGATCAGTGACTGGCATCTCCTGGCCATGGATGCGATTTGATATCTGATGTGGGCCTGTGGGATGGCTGCTCACTCTTCCTGGAGTGCCTGGAACAGATCACGACTATTGGCTGGAGCAGCGTCTCGGCGACAAACATGTCTTTGCAGCTCATCCCCCAGGTGTTCAATCGGACAGCGATAGCCAGGGTAGGGTTTGAATGTGATTAGCAACCAGAAACTGCGGGATCAACCGTGCAGAATTGGGTTTGGCGTTGTCCTGTTGGCATCACACAATGGAAGGGCATGTGGTGGAAAAATTACATTGACGTATCGTAGCACATTTAAGTTCCTTCAATGTGCACCAATTGACTCCTTCCGTTCTAAACTGATCATTCCTCACACCATAACGCCTCCACCGCCCTGCAGCAGAGCTTCATCAAAACAATTTTGGGCTAAACCTTCATTTACAGTAGACCCTACGCCGTCTATTATGACGCTGCAACAAAAATAAAGATTCTTCACTGAATCAGACACGTCTCTATTGATTGTCACCTGCCTAGGGACGATGCTGGTTGGCCCAAAGAAGTCGATTTTTGGCGTTGGTGACGCGTATGGACATGTCCTCGGTGTTGTCTTGTGCCCAAAGTCTAACGTCATGCAGTCTGTTCCGAACAGTTTGATCCACATGACGTCCTTTAGGCAATATCTGCACAGTTGAAGAGGCTGTTGTAAACCAGTCTCTGGTGTGACGAAGCCTAATAAAGCGATTCTCTGCTTTTGTTGTCACCCTGGGTCATCCACTGCAATGTCAGCCCTCAACTGAATCAGTGGCTTAAAACCGGTACCAAAGTCGACTGATGGTACTCTGATGCACATTTAGATGCCTCGTAACCCGACTTTGACTTTCTCCTGCCTGCAATCAGCCAATAGAAATATTTCTTAAATTTATCGATAAAGGCGCCATTCGTGACTGCTTGAAAATTACCTGAATGTTTTGGTGTAGCGTTATCCTTTTATAGGGGTTCAGTTGCATGGGCAGTGAATAGTGTCCATTCAAATTGTGTTACTTTTTCGTGAGCGCGTCATGAGCTATGGTCACAAATATGGTCTCAAACACAACTGATCACTGCGTTGTAATGATTGCAAAACCCCACGCAACTCACGCCCACATGTCAACTGGACAAGGTAAACAGCATTTGAGTCTGTTTTTCACATTCCCAAGTACGATATTGTACTAACAAACTAATAAAAATGCGCCATGGGATAAATGTTCGTTTCTTTTTTTTTTTTTTTTTTTTTCAACAGTATATGTATGTATATAAAATCATTATTATGTAGCAGGTTTTTTGCTGAACGTACTCCGATTTCGGTCTGACTGAAAGAAACCCGTTCACGGCTCGTGTGCTTTCATATTCAAGGAGTCACTTATATTCTGTGCCTATCTTCATGTTGGTTGGCCTCTGCACCTCATTCCTGGTACCACGCCTTCGGCTATTATTTTATTTCAATCCGCATGGCACCAGGAAGGAGGTGCAGGGGCCATATATATATATGTATATATATATATATATATATATATATATATATATATATATATATATATATATATATATATATATATATATATATATATATATATATATATATATATATATATATATATATATATATATATATATATATATATATATATATAAGATTGAATGCTCATGTTGTGTTTGTGCCTCTGTGGAGTATCCACTGAGCCTACATACAGGACAGCGGTGGAGACTGAGATAAGGTAGAGAACTGGAGAGGGAAAAAATCTTGCTTTCACTATCCCCCGGCGAAAACGGGCAATGAAATTTACTGTGTGTAAGTGTGAGTGTGCACTTAGCGCACGTGTGTGTGTGTGTGTGTGTGTGTGTGTGTGTGTATCTGTGTGTCATCCTTTTGTATCGTTATGCTTTGCAGTCTAGCCCTCTAGTCCGTTCTAGTCTTTTCAATCATCTGGATGTCATGGATGAAATTCAGTCCAGCGTTCTCGTCCTCTCTCAAAAAACGTTAGTTTCAGGGTTTCCTTTGGACGATTTCGTCTTTATAAATCATTTGTTTCCCATTTCAGTGCTTGCTTGGTGATTCTCTGTCCGTTTCTCCTCTTGGTGTGAAGTGACCATTATAATGCCACTTTCTTTCGTACAGTTGATGGAATAAACAAAGATTATGGCCTGGAGAGAGGGAGGCACCTGGGTCTGGCCAGCTCACTACACTCAGAGGAAGGCAAGACGGACATATAACCAGATTGTGACCGGTACCATCAGTATTAGAACTCTTCGCTGGCTGCTGAAGATGAGGACGGAATTGCCTCGAGTGCTGTGATGTCAATTTTTGACTCTTCTTGAGTCAACTCAACTCAACTCAACTGATGCAACAAACGGCTGTCTAGACCTGTCTCTTATTTCATGACCTCTCTCGAATTCAGCCCACATAAGGTTCATCAATGTTCTCAGCCATATCTTCCCAAATGAATTTTGCTATCGCTCCATGTCTTTGACGATTCCCCAGTGCTCACTAGCATATATTAGAACTGAAATAATATTGAAATTTTAAAATGATTTATCTTGAATATAAGCCAAATAAGTGAAGATTTATATTTTGTTTAGAATTTTAAAAACTGCTCATAATGTTTTTCTTTGTCTTCCTTGGCAATCAAAATTGCTCTCTGCCCATGTGAACTAATAGGTTACGTTCATTCATAACTACACACACATATACATACACACACACACACACACACAGATATATATATATATATATATAGAAGTAAACCTGGGCAGTAAATACATCTCACTTGTTAGAAAACTAAAGCTTAAATTTAAAACATTACAAGAAACACGTGCAACAAAGAATAGATAGTCAAAGACTTAGCAAGGTAAAAATAAAAGCTGAAATACAGATTTGCAGCACTTGAAGTAGATAGAGATCTGAGAGCTGAGGACATTAAATCAATGCAAATCTATACCCATTCTCTGCGTCCTCTACTGTTTTACGTGGTCGCCCAGCACCCACACTGCACAAATTGAATACCGCTGCTCTAATGTATTGTAAAGCATTTCTGGAAGGCTTAGTTCAATGTAGTTTTTTTTTTTTTTTTTACAAACCACCTATTTAGATATTGCGTCTGTTAACGTATTGATCCGGGATGAACGTCGGCTCCCTAATATTGATGACATTACAAGTGCGCCTCCATAAAGATATCCGTTTTGTTTTTGTCTCCTGAAAGTGATATCTTGTAGAAGCAGAACGTAAATTTCAGGGTCACTTTCTTTGCGTTGAAGTAGAACAGCTTATAAATCAATATTCTATCAATTAGTTTTTATTGGTTCACACATGCATATTAATTTCCTTACTGTAGCATGACGGCGCTGCTTGGGCAAAATTTGGAGTTAAAAATTTACTGAAAATATTTCAGGATCCTCGCCAGTGATACAGAGCCTGTACACTGTGCTGAGCTTCTTCGGACTCAGACTTAAGTTAAAAGGAAAACGGAGCACTTATGGATTACACCCGTATGATGTTGATCCGTTGTTCAAAACTTCAAGCTAATTTCCTTAAAATGCTAACATGGTCAGAATTGGTCATTTACAATACAGAAACGACACTTAGTAGCCAATGAAATGAGCTGTCAGATAAGGCGAACATACATACATACATGCATACATACATACACAGACAGACAGACAGACAGACAGACAGACAGACAGACAGACAGACAGACAGACAGACAGACAGACAGACAGACAGACAGACAGACAGACAGACAGACAGACAGACAGACAGACAGACAGACAGACAGACAGGCAGCAGGCAGGCAGGCAGGCAGGCAGGCAGGCAGGCAGGCAGGCAGACATACACACATACATACATACATACATACATACATACATACATACATACATACATACATACATACATACATACATACATACATACATACATACATACATACATACATACATACATACATACATACATACATACATACATACATACATACATACATACATACATACATACATACATACATACATACATACATACATACATACATACATACATACATACATACATACATACATACATACATACATACATACATACATACATACATACATACATACATACATACATACATACATACATACATACATACATACATACATACATACATACATACATACATACATACATACATACATACATACATACATACATACATACATACATACATACATACATACATACATACATACATACATACATACATACATACATACATACATACATACATACATTCATACATACATACATACATACATACATACATACATACATACATACATACATACATACATACATACATACATACATACATACATACATACATACATACACATACATACATACATACATACATACATACATACATACATACATACATACATACATACATACATACATACATACATACATACATACATACATACATACATACATACATACATACATACATACATACATACATACATACATACATACATACATACATACATACATACATACATACATACATACATACATACATACATACATACATACATACATACATACATACATACATACATACATACATACATACATACATACATACATAC